ACTCCTTTAACACAGTCGATTCTTGTGCTTGAAGTTCACCATATAGCTTGAACAGTGAGAGAGTTTGAATCTTTCTATCTCATTGGACTATCATTTTATCCGTAGTCCAATGTCCACCCAGACCATTTAGAAACTACATGTTTGTTTCGTGGTTGCTTCTTACAGTGCCAACGTTTGAATGTTTGGTGATGATGAGGTTGAATCTCTTGAAGGAGTCACCAGGTAAGGCTTTAAAGTTGGTGAACTCATTGAGAGTTGTTGTAAGCTTCTTGTCTTGAGCCTGTTCAGACCCTTGATAGAGATTTTTTAGAACATCCCAGATCTCTTTAGCAGATTCACAGTTGATGATGATGTCGAAGTTTTTAGGAGCAACACCACTCGGGATTTCGTAGAAGGCTATTGCATCTTTCTCCATCTTCTCTATGTCATCGTTGGTAGGTCTAGTCATGTGTGCCTGACCTCCACCAAGTCTTGCTTGAGCACCGTCTTCGGCAACAGGAGTGAGAATAGGGACATGAGGTCCTTCTTCTACAGATCTCCACACATATCTACCGAGCCTCTTTAGATATCTTTCCATTCTTTGGGACCAATGATGATATTCACTTGCAACAAGTATAAGGGCTCTATTAGAACCACCAACACTATTTGAAACGTTTAGAGAATAAGCTTGTGCCATTTTCCTTGTCTTTTTTTGAAATTTTCTTATGAGCTTAAGTGGTATAGAAGGCCTTTTAAATCAGAGTTTTTGAGAACAAAAGCTTCAATTTTGAAAGAAATTAAAAGGCAACCACTTTGGCTCTGATACGAATTGTTGAGAGAAAAACTTGAACAAATGGTAGTACAAGATAATAAGTTGCGGAACTAAAGTTAATATCAATGGATCTTGTTAGCTCAACAATAATAATAGTTAGATTACGGAAATGTAAGGGAAACAAATAGCAACAAGTTTATATCAATAAGCAGTAAACAAGTAGACACAAGGTTGAATCGTAACAAGGTTTGCATGCAAACACAAGTTAGTATAAGATAAACAACACAAGTGAAGAGGGACTCGGTTAAGTATCAATTAAGATAACTTAAGTTAAAAAGATGAACAATCTGATATTGATAAACATACAGTGATCGATAGATTGATATTTTGTGAATTGGTAAGGATTACATGAAATAGGAAGCTCTATTTATAGAGTCCCAAATTTTACATCGAAATAGTAAAATAATCTAAAGTAAATGACTACGGTGGAATACAAGCAATGTCAGTTAAAGTAAACTAAACTATCTTCATGCAAATCTTCACTTTGCGGTTCATCTTTCAACTCTGCGGTTCTTCAACGTTCAAAACACAGTCTCCAGTAGTAGCTTCTCTGCAGTATCACAAAGTGCAAAAGTCTGTGGTTCCTTATAGCTGAAGAGAGTCACTTTTTGTTTCAACAAATAGTTATCACTCTAGCATTGGTGCTCCGCCTTTTGAGCTCTTGTATGGTCGGAGAGGTCGTACCCTAGTTTGTTGGGGGGGTAGGTTGGTCACAGGATAATGGGGAAGGACCGAAGTAGTCCTTCAGACCACGGAGCTTATTCTGCAAATCAGGCAAAGACTACAGACCGCTCGGAGTCGGCAGAAGAGCTATGCCGACCGACGCTGAACTGAGTTGCAGTTTCAAGTCGGTCATATGGTATTATTGAAGGTCTCACCTTGGAAAGGTGTAATACGCTTCAGGAAGAATGAGAAGTTGGGTCCCCGGTATATTGGACCTTTTTGAGTGGTTGCCAGGGTTGGCAAGGTTTCTTACAGGTTGGATCTACCTGTGGAGCTTAGTCAGATCCACAACACTTTACATGTTTTGTAGTTGCGGAAGTGCATATTGGATGACGAGGCAGTGGTCTCCTTGGACAATATTCAGGTCGATGAGCACCTAAATCATCTTGAGAGTCCGGTAGCTATTTTGGAAAGAAAGATGAAGGTCTTGCGCAACAAGGAGTTACCTTTGTTAAAGGTGTGGTGGCAGCATCGGAGAGGCTCCGAGTGGACCTGGGAGCCGGAGGCTGAGATGCGGGAGCATTATCCTGAGTTATTCGTCGCAACAGACTTCGAGGATGAAGTCTATATCAATTTGGGGAGAATTGTAACATCCCGATGATAAGGTATTCAAATTTCAACCCTTTAATTCATTTATCTTGCATTTGGTCCCAAAGTTCAAGAATTGTATGCAAAAAAGGGCCTTAATGGCATATTGGTAATTTAAGGGTTTGGAGTACGTCATACGAACGTGGTGTACGCTGAGCGTACTAGGGCGCGCCCTAGTACACCGGACGTACATCATTATACGCTGAGCGTACTTCCTAAATGGGGAAACCCTAATTTTTAGTGTTTGGCTGGTATTTAAGCATCATTATGGCCTCATTTCCTTTCACCTTATCAGCCTCCACCCTCTCATTCGTGTTTGAAGCCCTAGTTCTCCTTGAAAAGCCATTTCTAGCCTAAAAGTGTGTGTTTCTGTGCTTAGAAGAAGAAGGAAGGAAGCCAAGATCGTCTTTGGAGAGTGAAGCACTTTGGATTTGGGATTTACTCTTCATTTCCAACCCTTCAAAGGTATAAAACTTGCAACTTGATCTTTCAATCATGTAGATCTAGAAATGGGTGTTTTAGTGATACTTTTTGTTCCCAAATGTCTTATCTTGAGCATGACATGTTCTTGACGGTTGAGTTGTCCTTTTAGACCCTAGGAGGGGTCCTAAGTCATAAAAATGAAGTCCCAATGGTTAGTTTTGCTCCATGCATCTTGTAGAAGGTCTTAATGTATTAAGACCTTGAGTTAAGCACTTATTGGGCATGTAAAGTCATAAAGTTGGAAACTTTATGACTCTAGAGTGTATTTGAGCCTGGGATCTGAAACATGGACATAAGTGCTTAAGCCATTAAGCACTTATTGAGTTTTACAGGATGTGAGAGTACGCCCTACGTACGAGGTCAACCACCCCAATGGAGGTCAACTGTGAGGGTTTGGAGTACGCTCAGCGTACCTCCGGAGTACACCCCACGTACTAGCACTGGGTCGACCCTGATGAGTTGACTCGGTTGGGTGGACTCGGCTGGGTTGACTCAATTGACTTAGTGGGTTTGACCAGTTGACTTTGACCAAGTTTGACCTTAAAAGTATTTTGGGTATTTTGGGATTTTGATGGAAATTGGTCATTTGGTGGGAATAGGTGTCGGTTAGAGAGCTGAGATTCGGAGTTGAGACCTCATCAGTTTTTGTTCAGTTTGTGAGGTGAGTTTTCCTCGTTGAACCTTTGGGTCGAAGGCACGAAGGTCGGCCCATTGTATTGTTATCTTGGTTTATCGCATGTAGGTATGCTGTAGTGATCTGTTCGATATGTATCCTGGTATATAGGATAATCCTAAGCTTAGTGATTTGTAAGATCTGTCTGATTGTCTGTAGACTGGTTAATATGTATGTTTATCTGTTATGTATATGTCGACATGGTATGTGTGGTTGGTCTGAGGCGCACCAGTGTAGATTGAAGGCCAAGATACCCAGGGCGTCTAGGATATACTGCATGCCTGAGAGGCGTACCAGTCAGGCCGAAGGCCTGGAGAACGTTCCAGATAGGCTGAAGGCCCGATGAGGCGTACCAGTCATGCTGAAGGTTCTGTGAGCGTACCAGATAGACTGTAGGCCGGTGGGGCGTTCTAGTCAGGCTGAAGGTTCTGTATGCATGTTGTCTGTATTATGTTGATGTTATGTGTTAGTATTTTGGGGGAACTCATTAAGCGTTGGCTTACAATTTTGGGTTATGTTTCAAGTACTTTAGAGGACCGCGGGAAGGCGAAGGCGTGACAGTACACATCCTCATGTTTTGGACTTATGATGTTGGGAACTCTGATGCTGAAATGCTTTTGAAAACTATGTTTGTAAAAAAAATTGTGAATTTGGTTGGTTTTAAAAAGTTTAAATTTATCATGATTTTTATGAGTGGTACACATGTGCTCGCCGGAACAACGTAGCTGCAATCGGTGGTGATATGTGGTGTCCTTACCGGAACCTTAAAAACATAAATAAAAAAAATCAACAATTATGATTGTCACAGTCGTAACCGATGGTCAGAAAAGAAGAGAAAGAGAAATGGGTAGAGAAAACAAACGTGGCCGGTGGTAGCAGGTCGTAACCGGAGGTGACAGTCGGCAAGCGGAGGTGGTAGTCGGCAGGCGGTGGCAGTCTGTGAGGGAGGTTAATCGGTCGTGGCAGTCGGCAATCTGTGGAGAGCAGTGGCGTCAGTGGAAGTTGTGGTGATGTCGCAAATCGTCGCCGGAGAGAACCATGGGAGAGTTTTGGAAGATTATACATGATCTGGTACGAGGATGCTGAACAAAAGAGGTAACTCTTTAGCGGCGACGCTAATAGCGGCACCCTAAAGGGTATTAGCGGCGACAAGGTGGAGGGGGTTGAACGCGCCTTTTCCGGAGATTATTGACAGCTGGATCGTGTAAGAATCATAGGGCCAAGATTTCGTTTAATGTGGGTCAACGGATTGACACCAATAGCGACGACATGGCGCCGCTAAAGGTGTCGTCGCTATTGCCTTCCACAGGAACGAACCCTATCCGTTCGATCATGTTCCAAACCAAGGGCCAAGATTGAAAGTGGCGTGTCTCCGACGGATCTCTGGTCTGTACCTTTAGCGACGACGCTATTAGCGACGACATTGTCTTTTAGCGGCGACAACAAGCGTGGCTTGTCTGGTGTCGTCGCTAAAGGTCTAGTCGTCGCTAAAAAACGGCGTCCCTAATACTTTGTTTCTTGTTGTGAATCTTTAAAATATCATATTAAAGTCTTAATCACTCAAATATATTCAGGTGTATAATAGAACAACACCTATATAATGAAATCAGGTTTTTTTTTTATTTAATAGTTTTGGATCATTATGAAAATTATGAAAAAAAAAACAAATATAAGAAGTTCTGAAATTACAAGAGGTCAAAAAAACACACTTAAACAAATACATAGTCTACATATTCACTAATTCATTGATATTTTGTGACACATTCAAGAATACTTTTAAGGCGTTTGTTATATGTGAATGGTTTCTCCAACGGTACTAGGTGCCCTGCATCCTTTATCCAGTCCAAAGTTGTTTTTTCACCCAAGCGTCTGATACATATTAAAACATATTCACCATATAAGATTTATAACAACTTCAATTCCTAGCTATAGAATTTATTTTTAACCAACTTTAAACATATAACACGCTAAAAGCTCGAATCGAAACCAATTTTAAACGAGCCTGAGCCGAGCTCGAGCTTAGTATTAAGCTGAGATCGAGCATGAGCCTATGACATTAAGCTCGATTAGGCTCGCAAACCTATACGAGCCTATATATAATATAACTTATTATTATTTTTAAATATTAAAATATAAAAATATTTGGAGAATTAGAGATTTAAAGTATTGGTAAATGAGATTTTTAACGAGCTTGAACTGAGTTTAAGCTTATTTAGATACGTTAGACAAAAAACGAGTCGAGCTCGAGCCAATGCCGAGCTTGTATAATTGTTTATGAGCTCGAGCCGAGCTTAGTATAAGAAAGCTCGAATCGAGCCGAGCTCGAGCTCGAGCTCAAGTCTTGTATAATTTAAACGAGCCCGAGCGGAGCCTGGCCAGGCTCGGGCTCCACTCGGCTCGGCTTGTTTGCACCCCTGGTGATCATACATTATTGAATTTGATTAAACTGTTCTTTCTTTGTAATGAAGAAAGATATAGGACGTACATTTTCATCGTGTTAGCAAGGTCGAGATCAAAAATCTTGTCGTCATCACCCCACAACATATGTATCACCTGCAAAAAATTTAATTCAAACACAAATTATATAATTGAAGGTGTTTAATGCCTAAATTACCTGCGGATAGTCGGTATCCGATGTTACATCGGTATCGGGAACGACCAAGCAAGCTAAGAGTTTGTTTCTTTCTTTTCGATTGCTAAACATTGTCTACAAATGTCAAAAAGATAACATCGATCATTACATAATTTATAATATGATAGAGAGATTGGAGTACATGTAGTTAAGTTATGAGATACCTCAAGAATGTTCCGATAAAAGAAATCGGGAAGCCATGGGAGTTTATGAAACCCAACAGAAAACATCCTCTTCAACCCCTCTACGGTTGTGGGCATCAAAAGGTCCGACCAACTTGACAAACCAAGTCTCTTATACGAGTCAAGGCTAATGGATTCGGTTAACTCTATAACAGTGGCAGACATAACCATAGACTTGACCAGATTTGGGTACAACTTAGCAATCTTGAATCCAACCATCCCTCCATAACTTAACCCAACTAGTGTCACGTTCTCCACTCGTAGTTTCTTCAACCACAAACTCAGCTTGAAAACTTGTAGACCTCTCATTTCTATCGGTGATTGAGCCACCAAAGAACAAGAAGTCAGGCACGTAGACTGAGTATTCACGTGTCAATGCCAAAACTTGTAAGAACCATGTGAAAATACCATCCATGGCGAAAGAATGAAGGAGTAATACGGCTGGTTTGGTGGGTGGTACGTAAACGATTTTCCCATCATCTTTGGTGACGATTTCTTTTGGAACCCATATATTCATTAAGGTCCCTGGCTCTATTTCTATGGTCTGTGGTGTTAATCCAGCTAGCTTTACGATTCCATGAATTAAAGGTGTTAGAACGACAAACACATTTCCCATAATTTGTTTACTTCTTTGAATCTTTGAGAGGCAAATGTGAGATTGTGATATTTATGATTTGCAAGTTGTAACTTACTCGGCCCTTTTAATTACAACTGAATTTGGTAGGGAGATGAATTAAATCGCCACCGACATAACACCTGCCTACCCCACCCTCGTTCCCACTTCCCCGTGATACGTACGTGATTGGTTTTTAAATATTTTACAACGATTTTGTTTATCCAAATTCAAATATTTTGACTTGAAAAATCAGAGAATCAGAAGTAAAATTAACATCAACATCAGTTTTGTCAACCATGATAAACTGATTATCATGTCATGGCTTAAGTTACAATGATTCCATTAGAAAATATTGAAACACCATCTAAAATATTTATTTACTCCTATAAAGTATAATAGAGATTTGTTAATCGTTATGATAAACGTCCCTGGGTTGGGCAGGATGTATAAATATTTGTTATATAAAAAAGAAATTGACCTTGATTTTATTTTATACTATATAAATACACATGTTTTTAAATGACATAGTTAATTGCAAGTAGTTGGTAAAAATATGTAAATACAAAGGAATGAAGGGTAATTATAATTTCTGAAATATGTTTGACTTTTAAGTTCAAATATGAGAACAGCGTGTCTAAACATATATAAGTATGTTTTTAGTTTTACAAAAGCCTTGTAAAATGGGCGAAACGTGTGAAGAATGACAATGAGAAATAAGCGGAGAAAATTCTCAAAAAGTTAACAGAGAAGGAAAAGTATAAAAGGGCCCATCGAGGTTGACAAGGAAATCAATATTGAAAAGTGTGATAAGAATTGATATGTTGACCGTAAATGTATGATCTAATTGTCTATGAATTGGTGCTAAGCCGTTGCCAATGGGATAATAGGGTAATCATTTTTGGGTAATCATCTTTGTTGCTTTTTTCACATTTAGATAATTTTTTTATTTTTGAATACATTTGACCATTTAACTTGTTACATATGTTCACATATTGTCATTGTCACCGGCTATATCAGGTGACAATGATAATATGTGAACAAATTAACAAGTTAAATTGTTAAATGTGTACAAAACAAAAAGAAAATTGTCTAAATGTGAACAAAACGAAAAATTAATTACCCTGATAAGTCATTTTTTCCAGTTTGAATAACGATTTTATTTTTCATATTTGTTTGTAATATTTTTTTTCAAACGTTATTTTTAAAATATCCATAATTTCCTAAATATTAATTAAATATTGATCAATTTTAAACTTTACTTTTTAATTAATAAATATGTTTTTGTTTTGTGAAATATTTTATATAGCCTCTTATAATTTTTTTGAAGCATATACAATATTTTTAAAATAAATAGTATCTAACAATAAAATTAAATAAATTAAATATGTAACAATAAGTATGAAGGGTCTTTTAAAAAAATAAAAAGAAAATATTACTTAGCAAATAAAAAACAAAAAAAATCTACATAATGTAAATGTTTTAAAATTATTCCATCTTTTTAATACTATTTAATTGAAAGTTTATAAACGTTTAATTTTTTTAATACAACGTTTTAAACTAGTTTTCAACGAAAGTATTTTAAAACGTTATAAAAAATATTAAATTGTCATACAAAATCTGTAAAACACTAAAAAAATGTTGTAAAAGAAAGTTTAGAAATAAATGTACGAAAGTTATAAAAAGATTGTATGAAAATGAAAAAAAAAAGTTAAAAACTTGTAAGAAAAAATTTAAACATTTATAAAATATTTGGTTTAAAAGCACTTGTAATAAAATTATATGAATGTATAAAAAAAATTTAAAAATTTATAAGCAAAGTTTAAAACATTGTATTAGAAAAACCTATAGGAAAAAAATATCATAAAAATATTGTAAGAAATTATAAAAAAATCTTAAGAAATTTATAAAAAAAAAATTGTTCACATTTAGACAACTTTTTTTTTGTACACATTTAACAATTTAACTTGTAAAATATGTTAACATATTACCATTGTCACCTACTATAGCAGGTGACAATGGTAATATGTGAACATATTTAACAAGTTAAATGGTCAAATATATACAAAAAAAAATGAAATTACCTAAACGTGAACAAGAGGAAAAGATAGTTACTCTCGCAAGTCATTTTTCCTGATTTTTGAGCAAAAAACTGATTTTCAATATATATATATATATAATATATATATATATATATATATATATATATATATATATATATATATATATATATATATATACTAAATAGGTATATTTTTTTAAAATGCGAGATCGATTTGGAGCACTTTGAGAAGAGAGGGTCGTGCCAGGTGCACATAGTAGAGGGTCACGGGAAGAGACCCAAGACTTCTGATCATCGGGTGAAAGGCCAGCAGGGTCGGAGTCAGTGCAGCACGTACGGGAAAGTGCACAAGGGAGTTTGTCGTTCGAGGGGTATATCTTCAAATATTGTCATATGCCATTTGCATACCATGAATTACTAGTGGTTAGTGTAAGTTCGTTTCCCTTTTGCTGGTTCGGGGTGTTCAATGTTCTCTTGGTTCATAATATAGATTTGTCGCAGGGTAGTTAGGGGCTTATCTGAAGACCAAAGCCTGTGGATCCTTATAATCCTTCAGGAAGGAGGATCCTATTGTTAGTTCATGTCATCGGGATCGGAAGGGAGTTTTGCACCATGATCTCAGGAGGTTCGAAGTATCTGTGGAGAAGGTGATCAGGATTCCTCCAGATGTTACGGGTATGTCATCTTCTACTGCTAATAGGTGGATGTCGGGAATCTGTACCACTTTGGAATTTTGATTGAGTTCGAACAAGTTAGATCTCGGGTCGGTTCTCCGCTATCGTCTGGGTTATCAAGGGTAGTCATATGCCATTCTGTATGCCGAGAAATCTTTGAGGAACCTACAGATGGACGTATCTTGAGGAGTGGGTTCCGCGTGTATCGTTATCATTTCGGATCCTTGTCGGGATCTGTGAAAGAGTATTATTTGGAGGATATTTTGTCAGAGTTAGAGCGATAGTTCTCCAGTGAAGTCAAAGTTCAGTGGTTCTAGCATTGTTCGGGTATGGTCGATAATTGACTATGGAAGAACTTTGAAGTTCAAGGCACTACCATTGCTAGGAAAGGACTGGTAGCATGAAGATGGTGGTGTCAGTTGCAGGTGTTTGATGCATAAGTGTTTGGGCATTGGATGTTCAAGAGAGTTGTATTTTTGCATGGGTTGTGTTCGGTAGAGTTCAGTGGTGCTGCAAGAGTGGAAGTGGGAACGAGGATTCGTCAGCCAGGGGGAAGATTAAGGCCTGCAGTTGTCAGCATGGGAGGTAGACTGAGGTGTCAGACTGGACTAGATTTCAAGAGTACTCTTCAAGATTTCAGAGGACGGGCGATCTTAAGGTTTGACTGGTAATTGATCGTTAGCATTGGTAAGCACAGGTTGTCGACGGTGGACTATTAGGAAGTAAGAAGGATTGGGAATCCTTCAATTCTCACGTGCCGGGAAGACTTAGTAGAATTTAAGTGGGGGAGAATCGATCAGGTATCCAGGAGCAGAAATAGGTGTGAAACTAGGATGAGTGTCGCATCCCCGATAGGGAGAAAGGCGGTCGAGTGGCCGTCTAGGTTGAGGATTGGGTGAGTTGGGAGTTCGGAATACGTTCCAACATTTGGCTCACGCTTTTCCTTGGCATCGGATAACAGGTTTCGGAAACCAGGTTAGAGATCCAGTTAGGACTCAAGTTCAGATGAGTGTTAGGTCGAGTGCGTGTTCGACCCATGATGGTATAGTTGGATTGGTGGTAGGACCAAGGTTGGCAGATAGTGCTAGAGTGTTGTAAGTCTGCGGGTGTAGCCTTAGCATTCATGAGGTTGGAAGATAGTGATAGAGTGTTGTCAGTCTACGGATGTAGCCGTAGGATTCACGAGGTTGACAGATAGTGCTAGTGTGTTGTAAGTTTGCGGGTGTAGTCGTAGCATCCACGAGGTTGGCAGATAGTGCTAGAGTGTTGTAAGTCTGCGGGTGTAGACGTAGCATACACGAGGTTGGCAGATAGTGCTAGAGTGTTGTAAGACTGCGGGTATAGTCATGGCATTCACTAGGTTGGTAGGTAGCATGAGAGCGTTGTTAGATCACGGAAGGAACAGTAGTACCCATTAGTTCGGGTGCAGCAGTGAGGGCATGGCAAATCCACAGTTTCAGTGTTTTGGCAGTATTAGTGTTAGTGTTTTAGAATTTCAGATATGGATGGATAACGGATTGCGTGGGTTATGCTAAGTCACTCCCAGTGGTATTATCTGAACCTTGGCCAAGTATAAGTGATCTGTAAGGATAATTAGGTTTGTGACTCTGTTTTCCCAGTGGAAACCTCGAGTTATCAGAAGTTGAGTAGTCAGTTGAGAGACAAGTGGACTGGATTTAACGATAATGATTCAGTATTGGCGGTCTGTCAGGGAGTCAAACCATCTCGAGACTACAGATCTCAGACGGAGTAAACGTGATCATGTTGCAAGGAATTCGTTCACCTTTGGGTTTTAGAACCCTGCGAGGGTTGGTTATGGTTACTATGGGAAGGCTAGGGTGTGCCCATGATTGTGGCCATGTTACTGGAGTGGTTTGGCGTGTAAGGAATGGTAAGGAATAATTTCGAGGATGAAATCTAATTTAAGTGGGGGAGAGTTGTAACACCTCGTTAAATAAATAAATAAATAAATAGACAAATTAATGAATGAATAGTGGCCCTAAAATCAATAATTATATAGCAAGGTGTTGGTCTCGAGGAGTTAATTGTCACAACTTTAGAAGTTGGGGTTAAAATTGTAAGTTCCAGATTGGTTTTGTAAATATTTATGAAGGTAAGGACTACTTGGTAA